AGCCTACATTTCCCTACAATAATAAAAATTATAAACGTAAATTTACAAAAAGATTTAGCATTATTTCCTTTCATGGCCTTCTATTGTATTCTACCTTCAATATCATACCGTGCATAAGTAAATCCACTTGATACATTTGAACCAAAGATTTATCAGCAAACATGATTTGAAAACCACCAACATATGACACTATTCGATTAAGAAATTCCACGGCTGATACCTTCAACATCTCCAAAACTTGACAACATAGTAGATGAAACATGGCAGATGCTGCAACTACAACATTTTGCACACCAGAGAAAAGGGTCAGGGGCTATGATCACAATATATTCGAAGGAAAGATAGCCACATTATTCATTCCGTTCAATCTATCTACAGGGAAAGTCTTCTCAGACACTATATTGATATATTATGGCTTTTATTGAATGTGATTGTTAAAAACAAAAGAGAAGATGAAGCACGGTGAGGGAAGTAAACAATGATGAACATGATTGGCACATAACAGGGGGGAGGGGGTTATCATACTAATGGAAACTAGTAAAATATGACATGTATACAAATATAACCCTAAGCATATTGTGACTTATCAGTCACTACCCCATAGTACAAGCATTATAGAGATTCAAATAATTGTAAACAGAGAAGCTACACAGATGCAGCTAACAAGAACATAATCAAGAGAACTTGTGCAACAACATACCCAATATAATCCCACAAGTGGGGTATGGGGAGGGTGAGGTTACGCATACTTTACCTCTACCTTTGTGGGGTAGAGAGGTTTTTTCCAATAGGAGACTTGGCTCAAGAAAATTGTTTATCAGCAAGTGAACTAATTCAGATATACAAAATTATCGAGGGAAATTGATTTATGAATAAATCATAATGTATTTAGCCTCAAACATCTGTAGAAATGATAAACCAACAAAACTAGATAATACCAAAATACTCTAGAATCTTGGTATAACTCCAAAACACAAAGAACAAAATGAAACTACAGATTCTCTCAACATCAGTAAAATGGTTTAGAGCAGCCCGGGCAAAACATTTTCTAGATTGTTTAAAGGGAGTACTACTAGATCACCAACTCTTACTGAAATCTAGGCAATTGTCACTGTTCCCCCATTGCTCCAAGGAATCTCAATAATCCTGATGTCATATGTACCATACTTTTGGGTAGACAAAGCATCTGGCTGGAGTTTTTGTACAGATACCTGTTTGTTCACTCTTATTCTTATTTTCTATTCGTACATATAATAGTTGGTATACGGTAACAATTAGGACTATTTTTGCCTAGCTCCAACGCATGGCGCCGTCAGATAGTGGTCCTGTTGTTTGTCCTACTGAAATTACAGATCAAACTTACAATGGAAAGCAAGCGGTGGAAGGAAGCATAGAGAAAACATCCTATGCGACCAAAGTTTCGACAACTGCTACCCCTGCAACAACCAACTTCAAACACCCTAAAGAATCAGCAATTGCAAAACAAGCAACACATAATGGAGTTCCGGCAGTGATATTTAAGTCCAAGGATTACTATGGTGTTATGGCTGAAGAATGCAAGCTCACTATTGTCGGGAGATTCTTCAAACCTCGCCCCCAAATTGAAAAAATTAGGTCAGTGTTCAAAGAGCTTTTTCCTATTAAAGGTTCTGCTAAAATTGGTGTATATGATACATTCAATGTTTTCATAGACTTCACTAATGAAGACAATTTCTATAAGGTGTGGTTTCGAAGCGTAATTGAGATCGAGGGGTCTCAAATGTGGCTTCAAAAATGGTCTTCGGACTTCAAACATGATGAAGATCTGCCCATAGCCCCTATATGGATTCTTCTTCCTAAAATTCCTTTTCATATGCACACCTGGCAATATATGAGACAAATTGTTGCTAGCATAGGTATTCCTTTGGGTTTGGATGCTGCCACTACTGGTAAGACTAGACCGAGCTTGGCGAAGGTATGTGTTGAAGTTAATTTACTGAAATAACTACCTGATCAAATTTGGGTAGGTTGGGAAGATGAGGGAATCCCTCTAAAGGGATACTATCACAAAATTGAATACGAAAACATTATGAAATACTACAAGCACCGTAAGAAATTGGGTCACAATGTTATGAATCACATAGTTCTGGAAAGAATTAAAGCCAATGAAGCTAAAGAGATTGAAAGAAATGCCATCAATCTCGATGATAACGGAAAACAAAATACTGAAGAACTGGAGTCTAGTAATATCAAGGAAAAGAATGCTGAAAATATCAAGATTATTGAAGAGAATAAAAATGTTGGTAAAGAAAATGAGGCTGATAATGGGCAGATTGGTTTAACAGTAGCAGAAAGGCTTAACAACAACAAAAAGAAGAAGAAGGGAGAGAAGAAGAAAGCTAAAAAAAAAGAAAAATATAGTCTTATTCAACCCAACAATGGAGAAAATTACAAAAAATAAGAAGAAGAAGAAAAGGGAAAAAAAGGAACTCGAGCTTAGCAGGTCTATTGTGGAGGAAAGTGACCTTAACATAAATAAGGTTGAAGATATTGAGATTGAAAGCAACAAAAAAGAGATCAACAATAAAGAAGTAACTTGTTCCAATGTTAGCTGCTACAAAGAGGAAAAATTACACTACAACAATAATGAGGTGGAGACTAATTCTCAAGCGTCTAGAAACAACTATTCCGTCCAGCAAGAACAAGAGCAAATCAGTAAAAACGGGATTGACAAAGAGGTAGAGACCACGAAAGTTTCAAAAGAAGACAATGATATATTAGATCAAATCAATGAACTAAGCATGTCCAACAGTTTACCTTCCCATATTAAAAATCAATCTTGATCACACTTGGTAGTAGATATCAAATGTGATCAAACGATAAAGCAAAATGTGCAACATCCAGACTATTTAACAACCGTGATAGAGTCACAACAAGGTGAGAGGATTGACAAATCCTCTAAATTGAATAATAATCACAAGAAAACCAGAGCACAATCCAATAACGAAATCAATGACAACACAAAGGATACCAAAACAATAAGAGGCAGAAGTACTCAGAGAAACTGTCAAAGACGAAAGAACAAGAAAAACAAAGATACTACATTTGGTAGAAATTGCAAAGACGATGTGAGCAGTTACATCATAAATGGAGTATGGAACTGAATGGAGATTGAGAATGATATTCCTAAGGATCTAAGAGGAGCAATATATCAGGTGGACATTGGAAACAATAGCCATAAAGATGATGCAATATGGATGGAGACTGTTGACGGAAGATACACAAATAAATCTGCTTGGCATATTGTTAGGCAAAGAAAAAATCAGATCCATCATCAAAACATCGACACAATTTGGCACAATGTCATTCCTTTTTAGTTTGGAGGATATTTCTTGGCAAATTGTCGTTTAAAGAGGTAATCTCCAGATTCAATGCTAACAATCAATCTAATGATTTTAATTGTTATTGTTGTAGGAACCCCACAAATGACACTATCAGACATGCTTTCATTGATGGAGAGGTGACAAGCCAATACTTATAATTCAATTCTTTTATATTCAATACTCACCTTTTCTATATTTTTCAAGGAACATAGATCATGCATTGCTTGAGGCGCTTCTCAGATAGAAACTCTCTACTGCACTTCAACTGGTTACACCTGAATGTATGTCTAATAATCATGATGCTGCTACTCTCCTTTGTATATCCTAGCAATAAAAAGTAATCCATGTTAGCTAAAATTGTACCCTTCTTTTTCAGCCATCTGAAGTAATCTCAAACTCTCCCCGATATGTATAATCAATGAACTACACATCAATACCCAATTAGTTGGGGTCAATAATAAGAATCTGTCTTTTCCAATCCACTCTATTAGTGTATATAATATTCAGGGGATTGATCAAATTACACAATTTTATGCAAACATTAATCTCCCTCAACTTCCTCCTTCGCCACGTTCCGTACCCTCTCTGTATCGTGAAGTTCACCATACAAATAATTAAGAATTTCAAGGGACTCTAATCGTCACCGAAAAATAATTTTTTTCTTGAAGGTAGTAGATTATCTAAATTATCACTAAATACTACTCCTATTCAAAAATTAACAATTGTAAATAACATTAAACCTTAACCCATTGTATACGATTTTTAACAAGTCAAAATCTACTACAAGTTAAGGTGTCTGATTTTTTGTTTTCCCGTGTTTCTTACAAGGAAAATTTTAAGTTGGCAGATGCAAGACGAAACAAATGAGAAGATTTAAGTCGATTTATTGTACACACATCGTTCATAGTTGAATAAAAGTTTCACAAGAAAGAGGACACGACTTTGACTTACGACCAACAACAAATTTCTCAAATTAGAAAAAAATAATATAACACAAAAAAAAGAGGCTTACGATCAGTAGCAAAGTTGAAAATCTAAATGTTCCCATTGACCAATACATACAAATAAGGACTCCAGTGTCAATGGAGAGAGCAATTCCTAATTTCCATTTTCACCACCAAACTGAACGAGACCTCACATTTAGGGCTCAATGAATGTCGGCTCGTCCAATTCATCAAGGGTTTAATTATATGAAGATTCTCAAAAAATCTAACTTGATGATGAAGAAAAAATTCCACAGAAGGAAGAGAAGCCAAGATGATGGTGGAATTTTTAGGTTTTCTGATGAATGACTTATGAATGAAATTTAGGGCAGAATCAGATACTCTTGCTTTGAAGAAATTGGGCGGAAATAGATTTATGGAGGAAATGTTATTATTTTAAAAAGTTTATGAAAATTAATAGGGCACATTTGTATAGTGTTGTTTTTAGAATTATAAATATACCACACTTAAAAGTGTAGCCATATTTATAAATAAGTGTCTTAAATTATTTTATGATTTGGCAACGCTTAAAACGTGTACTCTGTTATTTTAAAAAGAACGCTTTACGAGCGTTGCCAAAAAAATTGTGGCCAAAAATCGTGTATAAAAGGCCACACCTTAAAAGTGTGCCCTTAAATATTTTTGGCAACACTTCTCAAACATTGTCAAGAATTAGAGTGGTTGTAAGCTGAATTTGTTGTAGTGATACATTGTGCTGAGGTGAGGCAGAGGCATTTAGAGAAGTGGATTCTAAGGCCATGTGATTGAGGGGCTTCACCTCCCTTTGCCTTTCCTTCCGTGATAGTATGGAAAATGCTTGTGCCATAGTTGGTAGAGTAGTCAGCATAAGGATGTTCCCACGTATGACACTGTACATCTCGATCAAGCCCATCAGAAAATGTATGAGTCTTCTATCTTTTTCAGCCTTATGCATTTTGATTTTTCCATCACAAACACACACACACACAAGTACACTGATAATTGAATCAAGAGTGTTCATTTCCTCCCATAATTTCTTCATTTTGGTATAATAACTAGTGACATCTAGAGTTCCCTGTACAAGATCATTAATCTCCTTTTGTAGTTGATAAAGATTACAACCATTTGTCTGATCATATCTAACCTCCAATTCCTCCCAAAGCTCCTTGGCATTGTTGACATATTGCAATTTATCTCCCAGATCTGGTGAAAGAAAATTCAGGATTCAAGAAGTCACCATATCGTCACACCTTTTCCACTGCATGAAGGTTGGATCTGCAGGATCTGGCCTCACGACTTTGCCATTGATGGATCTAGTTTTACTCTTAACAAATAAAGCCCTAAGAACAACGCGTTTCCATGTCCTGTAGCTAGTTCCATCGAAAACAACATGAAGCAAGGTAGAACTTGCACTTTCTGAAGGATGCAGGTAAAAAGGGCTAGCAAAGTCCAATCGAATTGGAGTGTTGGAAGTGGTCGTCTCAGCTGGAATTTCACCCATAGAAGAAGATGGGAGTATGATCGTAAATAAGAATATAGGTACATGCGAAGGACAAGGCACATAGAAATTGTGAGAATAAACTCACAATGAGCAAAATTAGATCGAAGTAGAAGAACGACAGTGAAATCGTTCAGAAAAAAAACCAGAAAGAGGAGCAAGTTTGAATCAAAGTAGAAGAATGACAGTGAGATCATTCTGAAAAAAACAAAAAGAGGGGGGGGGGGATAACGAAACAGAAATCAACCCAAACCTCACGATGAGAGAAAGGAGCAGGAGGCACCTCCAAGCTCTGATACCATGATAAAACCAACAACATAAGCTGAGAAACAATAACCTTCCTCCATTAATTGAGGTTGAGCTTTCACCAACAATCAGAGATAAAAGGAAAGATATTTTTGAGAATCGAAAAACTGAAATAATCAATACAATGTTTGTGTGTATATATACACTGATTGGCGTCTGACACATCTAACAAACCTAACCAACCTGCAAGGGTGAAATTGTAAAAATCTTTGTCATGACCCTTTTGATTACGTACTCTTATTAATTCCATGAACATGTATGACCATGATTCTCGAAGTTTGGATATTATCTCCCCATTATTAAATAAAAATATAAATTTTAACGACTACACAAATCTTTGATCGACTGGATTCATATCCCTTGCTTAAGAAATTGTCGTTATAAGTTAAGTTTCTTGTAATGGAACTTGGTGAAATCGTCAAGAAAGAAATACATCTTATATGTGTTTTCTTCAGGTTACCCTTCTTAATGTATTTTGGGAGTTGCAGAAGGAAAGATATAATAAAAAATATGACAAGAAGGCCATTACAATTAATCTCTAGAATTTGTGACCAAGTGTTATATTAGGTTAAAATCTCTACGAGAGAGAAATTTAGCATCACAAATTGAAAATGGAATTGGAACAAAGTTTCTCAAGTGGTGAAAAATTAGAAACCTAGATCAAAAAGCATTATGATATAAATGGATTTGTTCGGAAGGAAATACTTGGAAACTAAACACAAATGGTAGCTACATCACTAGTACATGCAAGGCAGATGCTGGAGGAGTTGTTAGAAAAGAAACTCACATTCCTTTGACATCTTTTCTGAATAATTTTAAGGTTTTTTCCTGAGGGTTTGATTGTTTTAGTTTATGTCTTACTAAATGTATTATTCCCTCCGTTTCAAAAAGAGTGACCTAGTTTGACTTGACACGAAGTTTAAGAAAATAAAGAAGACTTTTGAATCTTGTGGTCCTAAATTAAAGTTATATCAAATTTACAAAATTTCCCTTTAATCTTGTGGCTTTAAACATGCCTAGTGGAAAGCTGAAATTAAAATGTTACCAAAAAAGAGAAAGAGGTAATTCTTTTTGAAACAGCCTAAAAAGGAAAGTGGGTCATTGTTTTTGAAACAGAGGGAGTATTTGTTAATCAATATACATGTAAGCCTGTTTAATAGGCCTAATCGGGTAAGCCCTGCCCATTAATATTTTTGGTACTGATATACTAAATCGGGTCAAATTCGGTTCTTCAATAATGGATAGGACCGATACCAATCAAACTAGTGAAAGAAGTGAAAGAGATCGATCCGTGCTTGGTTAGGGTTTTTCTATTGGGCCTGATGGGTCGGGCCCAATTTCTAATAATGGCCGGAGCTAGGCCGGATTGGAAAATTTTCAAAATGTTAATATTTTAACATTTAATAGGATCCTAAAAATATCAAAATTTTAGTTTATTATGATCTTATTTAAGTTTTTATTATTTGTTTTAATTGAAAGAATACAATTGTTAAATAACAGTTGGAGAAATTTAGGGGAGAGACATTTTTTTAAAAGGAACAATCGCTTAAAAGTCTCATTGATACGTCCAAACTTACACCTCAATTAAGAGGTATAAATGGTCGAAGTCAATTTATAGAACTTAACGTGAGTTAAGGTCGATCCCACAGAGAATTTTTTACAGAAATGATTTCACTGTTGCGTTTTACTCAACTGTCGTTATTATTTCCTAAGGAAATAATTACGGAAAGTAAAATTGGGTTTAGCTATAAAGCTCTAGTAACCAAGGTTGTTAACTAAGATCTAATGTAGCAATTAACATAATATCAGTTCTAAAGTTGTTTCGATAATTAAATGAAACTAGGATTGTGTTCCCCATAACGTTGGATCTAATGTTCTTCCGTATTTGAGTTTCAGGCAATTTATCTCTACAAAATACAGGTGAGCTAAATATATTAGATACTTCTCAGTCTAATCAAATAATTTTCACTCAAATCCTCTTGGTCTGAGAGTGTTACACGTTTTACCCTCGCTTACAATAGTGTTAAAGTTCTTTTCTCTCGAACTCGAACTTTGACTCCATTTCTTTAGGTTTATTTAGCTTTTTCCTAACTATCATTTTTCTCTTGAACAAATGATAGATGCAAGCTCACCCTAATGCGTGCACACATTATAATACATGAATAATGAAAGCTAAATTATACTTTGCAAATGTAAATCGCCTTTCACTCGTTTTAAGGAATTACACTTAGATTTACGTCATAGATCCCACAATCCCACTTGTGGTATGTAGCCACTCATGATTTCACGTAAATATACCGAAGAATATCATGAAAACATGATGAGAAAAATATTTATGAAAATAAGCAAATCGATACGCACTTTGATAATTCAAGAACCGAAAAAATCAACTTCCTAACTTAATTCGATGTTAATCTTCAAAACCAAAAGCTAAGAATATTTTTAAAACTTGTTCTTTGTTCTAGATAAAATGAGATAAAAACTAAAAACGACCTAATTAATTCAAATAAAGTGTTTTAAAAAGAGTCCTACTCGAAGTAGGACTGAACTGTTGGACACTTCACGACTACTTCCACAATCCATCAAGGGCTTCATGGTCCGTGAAGCCCTTCGTAGTCTTCAATTGGACTCACCCAAAACAGGTTCTTCAAGACGTGTACACTGAATCATTACCAAGGACACCACTACGACTTGTGACAATGACCACAGTCTATGTAGTTGTCAGTGGTCTTCACTTGATAAATTCCCTCTTCAACTTTACAATGCCCTTTCACTGTATCATCACCACGGACACCACCATGACTCGTGCAGTTGTCCGTGGTCTTCACTTGGTCAATTCCCTTTTCAACTTTTCATTGCCCATTCACTAGCTCATCTTCACGACTCTCACCCCGGACCGTTGTGAGGACCACGGCCCGTGAGGTTGTTCGTGGTCTTCACTTGGTTTAATTCTCGTTCAGCTCCTCCAACCCTCAGCACTAGTTCAACTCCATGATCAGTAGTGAAAACCATTGCCCGTGAGGTCGTCTGTGGTCTTTATTTCCAGTTTAATTGAATTTTCATCTTTTCTATCTTCTTTCACTTCCACTTGTTTCACTTGTACAAACACTACCAAGCACATTATATCCACATATATACACTCGATTTTTCTATTAATTCTTAGTTTGCAAGCATCAAATGTGCTAAGATTTCACGGCACATCAACACCCTCAACTTAGAACCATTACTTGTCCTCAAGTGATGAGAAAAGAATACATTCAGCCCTCAAATCATTCAAACACTTTTGAAACTACGCAACAGCCATCTCAAACACAATTTGTATCCAAAACCATGAATCTAACATGCAAGGATCAATATATGACATCTCATTACTCACAGTCGATCATGCTTATGCCTGTGAACTATTAGCTAACACAATCTACTCTCAAATGCAATCATTGTGTCCTCACACCAAATAAGTCCCTCACTCATGATGATTGGGACTAAGTACTACATCGCACTCTCAAAGAAATTCTAACACTAACAACAAACTACCATAGGATTGCCCTTGCTTTCTACACTCTATCTTTCAAAACCCCAGAATAGGATCACCGTAGGATTTTATTGGCTTGTAACATAGGCTCAGGCGAGGGAATGAGTAATTGGGTTTGTGAGTGACTAATCCCTTGGTTCTCCAAAGTTTCATTTGTACGCAACTCTTTTCTGAGCGATGCCCTCTTTTTCTTCATTTCAGCACATCCCAGGAGCCATTATTTTCTTTTTCTCTTTCTTTTCTTCTTTTTGTTTTCTTTTCTTTTCTCTTTTTTTGTTGTTGTTTTTTTATATGCATTCAGCTCACTGGTTGAACCTTCTTTTTTTCACTTCTTCTTTCTGCTCGGATTGCAATCACCCTCAACTTAGGCTTTTCGCCTGAGTTGTGACATCGTATCTTCAGAGACTAAAGGATATGATATTTACTGGGTAAGAACACAAACTGATTTTCAGGCTCAAGTCGGGTTCAAGTGATAAGCTTTTTATTTGGTTGCTTTATTTTTGGCTTTTTTTTCATGGCTTAAATATGATGGCCTACTGATCCTTTCCTATCCGGTTATTCTCCAATTTAAGCAAGACTACTCGGGCAAGTTCTAGCTTCTACTCCTAGCGTTAGACTTCTAGCAAACCTCACACACATATATGACATAGGACTACATTCTCTAGTTTCTTGGTTCACCAATTTATTTCCAGATTAGCAATGCTCAACACGTGAGTACCTAAAATGTCATCAAAAGATCCTAATAGTCAAATCTCAGATCAAGGTAATCATTTCACACAGATTAGCTGCTGCACAGCTGAACACACAAACACTTTATATTTTTATCAAAACACAAAAACAATAGCAGTTTTCACAATAAACACAGAGGCAACCTCCATTCATCCTAACAGCTAGAATGGAAGGTTGCTCACCACCCCTCCCCAAATAAAAAGACTTTTCCCTCAAAGTCAATGACGAAGAACAAAACAGGGCTATGAGGAGGGGTCATACCTGCAACGCTCTAGGAACCGGTAGCCAGATCAGCATTGGCACCCTTATAAATGGGTGCACTCTCAGAAACCAGTGTAGGATCAGTCTAACTACCATTCACCGGGACAGGTACTCCACTACCAGAAGATGCCGATGACACTACATATCATTGTTGTTGCTCAAGTGCTTCTTTTTC